GAATTGGGAGCTCTGGGCTCAGGTCTTTTGGGCTTGAGCACATCCCCAGCCTTCGGGGGTCTCAGTTTCCTCCTTTACTCTATCTGCTCCACTAAGGGACTCCTCGGAGTAGAAATTAAACAACGCACAGAGAAGGTGTCTAACCTCTCATACAAACCCTGGGTCCACCTAGTATGGTAGCTTGGCCTTTGGAGGACTTGGGTAGAGTCCTAGACACTCGACTTAACAGCTATAAGTGACTCAGAGAGCTATTACCTGCTACAATCCCCAAGAAATAGGGAGGATTCTGTGCGCCTGGTGTGGTGCTTGGGGTGAAGAGATGGTGCACACCAAGACCTGACCCAAAGCCTGGCATCAGGAGAGATCCACGCACACAGGGCCTCAGCCTTTCCCCATCGTGTCTCAGCCATCGATGTGCTTCTGCCTGGGAAGTCTTTGCACCTTTCTCCTTCTGTTTAGTCCTAGCCACTCTGTAGGATGCACTACAAATACGCCTCTCCCGTGCAGCCTTCACTGAATCCTGTCAGGCCAAAAGCAAACTCCTTCTCTCAATATTCTCAGCCATCCTGGCAGGCCAGTGTCACTCTCTACACTACTTGTTAGCCAACTCAACGAGTAATGTGGGGAGCAGTGAGAACATGGAGTCACTCCTTGGGAGAAAGAGGAGGCTCTCTGCTCTGGTAAAGGTTCAGTGTCTCAGAAACCCTTTATGGGGTCACTGTTAGCAGGAACCAACTCGATGGCAGAGGGTGTGGTTTGGGGTTCCACATACGTGCTAATTGTGCATTTTGTCTTGTCTCCTCTTTCTGCGAGGAAATTGCCTTCTTGATGGCAAGTAGTATACCTCCCCTACAGTTTCTAGAAGGATCCCTGGTGACAGTGGATTATGAGTTGGGCTGTTAACCCAGAGGTCAGCAGTTTGAGCCCACCAGCTGCTCAAAGGGGGAAATATGAGGCTTACCATTCCCATCGAGATGTACAGCCTCAGAAACCCACAGGGACCATTCTACTCTGTCCTGTAGCATCCCTATGAGCCAAAATCAACTCGATGGCATTGAGCTTTATTCCTGTTTCTAGCATCCCGAAGAAAAGTGGCCATACCGTGAACCTGGAACTTGGCTGGAATTGCAAATCTGTAGATCTACTGAATCAGACTGAGTGGGGCTCAGAAATCTATTTTAGAAGGTTTGCTAGTAAACGTTTGAGAACCAATGGAGTAAGAGTTTGTCAAATGAATAAATGATTGCAGCATGAGCTACAGTGCAGGGCCACGAAAACTTAGAGGAATTTGGTAGGATGGCCAAGTCTGTACGTCTTCTGTTCTTCAAATAGGACCTCGGACTCCTGCCTCAGGCAGGCCCAATAAATCCTCTCAGCGTAGGTTACAACAGACTAAAAAGATATGGGAGCAAGGTTGCTGGCTGAAGCTCAAGGTCTGTGTGTGCTTTTGTGTCTGTGTAAAGGGGGGTAGGAGTGTGTGTGCATGTGTGTGTGTGTGTGTGTGTGTGAGAGAGAGAGAGAGAGAGAGAAGAGAGAGATTTCAGCACATAGGAAAATTCAGCTTAGCAAAGGTAAAGGGGCTAGTGGGAATGGCAATTTCCCCCCTTGGAACCTCCTCTGTAGACAACTATGATTAAAGAGACACCTTGTCTGACTGGAACTCTGCCAAAGATTTTCTGGCTGAATTTTTTCTTCCAGAGGGAATGGGGGAAAAAAATCCATTACTTTCACATTTCAGGCAAAGTCAAGAGGCAATTAAAGGGAGCAGGGTTTTAAAGCAACAAAGTGCACATTTGACAAGAACTTCAGGAGTTATTCAGAACTTACTCCAACACTCACCCTCCCTTCTCCTGACCGTGGGGAGAGGCTGTGACCCTGGCCAGGAGGAAAACCAATGAATTCCCTGGAGGGTGGGACACCCACTGGGGATCTACTGACCAAGAACTCACTAGGCATGGATGGCAGGAAAGCTTTGTTTTAGTCTCCGTCCTTCCAGAGCTTGGAAAGCACACGCCAATTCATATCATAGTCTTTTCCCTGCTTCAGCTTTCTGCTCTCTATGCGGCCTCCTCGTCTTCTCTGTCTTTCTCCAGCTGACCGTATCTGGCCAGATAATTAGCCCCTCGAGCAGGTCTTCCTCTTTTTGCAAGCCCATAGGATAAAGACCCCTGCTTCCCACCAGACCATTTGCCTACCCCCTAGGTCCCCTGCTACTCCCACCACAACACCCCACCTCCCACCCCCTGTTCTGGCTTCAGTGACCCAAATCTGGTGGCTCCTGGGTCTGCTTGGCCAATGCCCGAGGGGGCTCTGTCCACCTGAGATGGAACTATCAGCCACTCCGATCCTTTCTGCAACGGATACCAGCCGGGCAGGGTCCCAGACAAACAAACTGCAGCTCTCTTGGCGTTTTAGCAGTCTGGCCTGGACTTCTGTTTTAACAAGGGGTGTGGGGGAAAGAATTTGAGCCCTTCAGCTATCTGCATTGTAAAACCCTGAAACCCAGTCTGTCCACCTGCTTGACACTTGGTGTACTTTATTTATTCCCACAACACCACCCCTTTTAAAATAGCAACAAGGATTCTATACCCTCTTTTGCTACTGCTTATATAGACTGAGTGGGGAGCACCTTGAACCTTGTCCTCTCCTACCCTACACAACCCCTGAATTCCTCAGAACTGACCAGCTAGCCCTGAGAGAGAGAGAGAGAGAGAGAGAGAGAGAGAGAGAGAGAG